AGATACCAGGGCCTCTGCTTGGGTCGCCGGGTGGGGAATGGCCAGCCTTCAAACTGCCACAGGCCCCTTGCCCAGGCCACCCTATGCTCTAAGGGAACCCACATCCTTATCCGAGATACCGTTCAGGAAAAACCGACTGGTTCCCACCCATGCACCAGGCCTCTATTCTATCTAATAAAAGAGTAATATGCAGATTGACTATCACTCCAACACACAAGTTGGCTGTCCTCATGTGGTAAAAGACCTGCCCCCACGTGGACAAAAAACGGCCACCACAAGATGGTCAGCAGGAAAGGGCAGTTGGGAGAGACCAGGCCTACAAGGGAGGGAAGTTGGGGGTAACCGAGCCTGCAGGGAAGGGCTGTTGGGAAGGACCAAGACCTGCAGGGGAGAGCAATTGGGGGGGACCAGGCCTGTAAGGAAAGTCAGTTAGAGGTGACCAGACCTTCAGGGGAGGGCAGTTAGGGGCAATCAAGCTGGTAGGAGAGCAGTTAGGCATCAATCAGGCTGGCAGGGAGTGGTTAGGGGGTGATCAGGCTGGCAGGCAGAAACAGTTAGGGGCAATCAGGAAGGAGGCAGACAAGCAGTTGGGAGCCAGCAGTTCTGGATTGTGAGAGGGATGTATAACTACCCGTTTTACGGGCAGTTAGACATCCCTCGAGGGGTCCCAGATTGGAGAGGGTTCAGGCTGGGCTGAGGGACACCCCCCCATGCATGAATTTCATGCACTGGACCTCTAGTAATTTAATATAAAGGTTAAGAAACAACTTAAGTGCTCAACTTTTTTTTTTAAAATATATTTTATTGATTTTGTACAGAGAGGAAGGGAGAGAGATAGAGAGTCAGACACATCAATGAGAGAGAGTCATCGATCAGCTGCCTCTTGCACACCCCCTACTGGGGATATGCCCGCAACCAAGGTACATGCCCTTGACCGGAATCGAACCTGGGACCTTTCAGTCCCCAAGCCGACGCTCTATCCATTGAGCCAAACCAGTCCCGGCTTAAATGCTCAACTTTTAAGTTACATGTTTAACTTATGTTAGATCCATACAATGAAATAAGAATGAGGAAGCTCTTTATGTACAAATATGAAACAGAAGCCAAGATACTAAATAAAAAAATCAAGAGGCAAGAGAGAGAAAGCAAGATGGCGGCATAGGATAAACACCTGAAATTGCTTCCTCGCACAATCATTTCAAAACTATAACTAAAAGACAAAACGAACATCATCCAGAACAACAGGAAGGCTAGCTGAGTGGAAATTCTACAACTAGAAGGAAAGAGAAAAGCACTCTGAGACTCAGAGGAGGTGCGGAAGTAAAGTGCAGAGGTATGGAGGTGTGCATAGGGAAAGGGCTGGCAACTGAGGATGTAGTTGTCTTTCTCAATCAGGAGGAAGACACAAGCTCTCAACTGCTCTGAACTCCAGTTCTGGGTGAGACTCTGGAGTACCAGAGTCATATGGGGAGAAAATGAACCTTCTGGCATCGGCTAGAACTCAAGGGCGGCTTTCTCTCAGAGGTACTTACAGTGAATACCGAGGGACACTGAGACCTGAGGGGCCTCTTAGGACAAGGCTGAGGATCATCCATAGCTGTTGATTCCCTGAAACTCTGCCCCACCCAAGCTATGCGTAGAGGTTTTTGCATATGAATGGCCTGCCCTTTGCAATCTAAAATTACTTAACAAACTATAGTTGGGTCAGAGAGACCGAGAATTTCCAAAAGAAGGCCCAAGGCCCCACAGCTGGTTGCAATGCTTCACAGTTGGGCCTCATCTGGGCACCTCCAAACCCCAAACAAAGAAAAGGAATCTGCAGATCTCTCCATAGCTCCTGCTGGGTGACCTCAGGCAAAGGCTAAATTTGCACCTCATTAGAGATCCAAGGGCCAGTATACCCAGTGGTCAGAGTGGAACCATCCATATTACAACTCTTCAGAACCATAAGGGACACACTCAGGGGGCAGACTCAGTGAGCACCAAAGCCCCACTGAAGCATGTCTTGCTTCATAAGGGTGTCTCCAGCACAGAAGTTCTCCCATTATAGATACAGCTGATCCTCATAGCCAGTTGACCTGGAGATCAATTCCTCCCAGTGATAACAATCAAGGCTTAACTACAACAAAACTGTGCACACAGCCCATAAAGCGGTGCACCAAGAGTGTCCATCTCAGGTAATTAGGGAGGCTGAGCCACTGGGCTCTATAGGACACCTCGTACATAAAGCCACTATATCATCACAGGGAAGAAGCCAAAATGCAGAGACAAAGAAACAGGTCACAAATGACAGAAATGGAGAAAAACAAACAATTGGATATAGAGTTCAAAACCAGGGTTATAAGGTTTTTCAAGAATCTTCTAGAAACAGCCAATAAATTTAGTGAGACCCTCGAGGATATGAAAAAGGACCAACTAGAAATTAAGTATACACTGACTGAAATAAAGAATAATATACAGAGATCCAACAGTATACTACAGAATCGCAAGAATCAATTCAAAGATTTGAAATACGAAGAAGCAAAAAGCACCCAACTGGAAAAGCAAAAAGAAAAAAGAATCCAAAAGTATGAAGATAGTGTAAGGATCCTCTGGGACAACTTCAAGCATACCAACTTCTGAATTATGGGGGTGCCAGAAGAAGAGAGAGAGTGAGATATTGGAAACCTATTTGAAGAAATAATGACAGAAAGCTTCCTCTACCTGATGAAAGAAGTAGACTTACAAGTTCAGGAAGCACACAGAACCCCAAACAAAAGGAATCCAAAGAGGACCACACCAAGACACATCATAATTAAAATTCCAAGAGCAAAAGACAACGAGAGAATCTTAAAAGCAGCAAGAGAAAAACTGTTACATACAAGGGAGTAATCATAGGATTGTCAGATTTCTCAACAGAAACTATGCAGGCCAGAAGGGAATGGCAAGAAATATTCAAAGTGATGAATAGCAAGAATCTACAATCAAGATTACTCTACCCAGCAAAGTTATCATTCAGAATTGAAGGTCAGATAAAAAGCTTCACAGATAAGAAAAAGCTAAAGGAGTTCATCACCACCAAACCAGAATTATATGAAATGCTGAAAGATATTCTTTTTTTTCTTCTTTTTTTTTAATATTTTATTGATTTTTTACAGAGAGGAAGGGAGAGAGATAGAGAGCTAGAAACGTCAATGAGAGAGAAACATCGACCAGCTGCCTCTTGCACACCCCCTACCGGGGATGTGCCCACAACCAATGTACATGCCCTTGACCAGAATCGAACCTGGGACCTTTCAGTCCGCAGACCGACGCTCAACCACTGAGACAAACCGGTTTCGGCTGAAAGGTATTCTTTAAGAAGAGGAAGAAGAAGAAAAAGGTAAAGATAAAAATTATGAACAACAAAATGACAACAAATACATATATATCAACAAGTGAATCAAAAATCTGATAAACAGAATTAAATCTGGTGAATATAATAGAATCAGGGGCATAGAAAGGGAGTAGACTGACAATTCTCAGGAAGAAAGGAGTATGGGGGTGCAGGAAGAGACTGGACAAAAATCGTACACCTATGGATGAGGACAATTGGGGAGGGGGTTTATGGCAGAGGGAAGGATGGGAACCAGTGGAGGGGAGTTATGGGAGGTGCAAAGAGGAACAACTGTAATAATCTGAACAATAAATGTATATTTTTAAAAATCAAGAGGCAGAAAAGTATAGTGCGTAGTGTTGAAAAATATTATTTACAAAGAAATATATAATACTTTCTAGAAGAATATTCAAGAAACTGAGGGTGGCCAAAACGGGTTTTGCTCAGTGGATAGAGCGTCAGCCTCTGGACTGAAAGGTCCTAGGTTCGATTCAGGTCAAGGGCATGTACCTTGGTTGCGGGCACATCGGCAGTAGGGGGTGTGCAAGAGGCAGCTGATCGATGTTGCTCTCTCATCGATGTTTGTAACTCTCTATCCCTCTCTCTTCCTCTCTGTAAAAAATCAATAAAATATATTTTTTTAAAAAGAAAGTGAGGGTGTTTGTTTCTTCATAAAAGTGTCCAGACAAAGACATCACAAGGAAAAATCAATATCCCTGATCCTCCACAAAGTACTACAAAACCAAATCTGGCAACAAGTAAAGGGATTGTTCTCCATAATCTAGTGAGATTTATCCCAGGAATGTAGGGTTGGTTAAACATCTGAACATCAATTACTGTAATATACCATGCCAACAGAACAGAAGGCAAAACCTCATATAATCATGTTTGTAGAAGTAGAAAAAGCCTTTCACAAAATCCAACACCCCTTTCATGATAAAAACATTCAACAAACTAAAACTGGAAGGGTAACCTCATGAAGGGCATCCATGGAAATCCCTAACATCATATTGGCAAAAAACTTTTTCCCACAATGAAGAAAAAAATAAACATGTCCATTCTTGCCTCTTTTCTTCAATATTAATTGTGCCCAAGGCTGTAAGAAATGCAATTAGGCAAGAAAAAAAATGGCATCCAAATTTTAAAGGAGGTAATAAAATGATCTGTTTGCAGGAAACCCGAAAGAATCCAATTAAAAGCTATAATAACTAATAAATGAGTTCAACAAAGTTTCAGGAGATAAGATCAATATTCACAAGTCAATTGCATTTCTATATAGCAGCAATAAGCAATTGAAAATCAAATTAATAAAACAATTCCATTTACAATAACATCAAAAATAATATACTCAGGAATTCAACAAAAGGTAAAGCATAAATAGAAAACTATAAAGAAAACTAAGCAGGTCCTAAATAAATGGAAAGACATAATTATGTTCATAGATTAGAAGATATAACATAGTTAAGATGGCAATACTATAACAAACTGATCTACAGAGCTTATTATAATGTCAAAAATTTAACTGGTATTCAAAAAAAGAATAAACATATTTTGCAATTCCAACATAATAAATTTATGGCATTTTTCTATTTCTGCCATCAAGATATTACTCGATAAAATTTTAAAATCTTTTAACTATTCTTACCTTTAGCAAAAAGGAAATAGCATAACTCAATAGAGCAGGGTGATGGACTAAATTTAAACTGGTTTTATACTTTGCTATTCCAATTACTTTAAAGACTTCAGGATCAAAATATGATCCTTTCTGGAAGGGTTTGGATGTCCACAGGCACCCAACCATGGCTGTCAAATAGCGATTATATTCTTGACAGGTCTTGCTGCTGAATATGAACTCTGATTTTTTCTATTGGGAAAGAAAAGAAAAGTGTCATCATCACCTATTTTCCCTTCCCTTGTTATTCCCATCAAATCATATATATCTACACTCAATTTTTAAACAATGGTGACTTAACAGAGGTTTATCATCCATACCTTTATTATCAACTCATTTTTCTTTGCAGCTGTCAAATTATTACGGTATCTAAAAGGATGAACAAATGGAATGAAATGCTTAACTTTAAATGCCTTTGAAATTTAAACATACAAGTGTACATTTTAAAAAATCTCTTTAAATATATATTTTTATTAATTTCAGAGAGGAAAAGAGTGGGAGAGAGAGAGCCATCAATGATGAGAGAGAATCATCAATTGGCTGCCTTAGCATACCCTGCACTGGGGGATGGAGCCCACAACCTGGGAATGTGCCCTGACCAGGAATTGAACCTCTTGGTTCATAGGTCGAAGCTTAACCACTACATCACGCCAGTGAGGCAAAAAGTATACATTTTAGATATGCAGATATGCACATACACAAATATTCAGCTGTATAGTTAAGGTTTTAAATCCTTTATGGTACATTCTCCTCAAATAATTAAAATCATCAGAGGCTCATATATTGAGTTATGCATTTAATATATGCACTTTGTATGTAAATTATACTTCAATCAAAAGAAAAAAATAAACAAAATGCTTTTAATGTTTCACTATTAAAAGTTAACAGAGACTCGCTGAAATCGGATTGGCTCAATGGATAGAGTGTCGGCCTGCGGACTGAAGGTTCCCGGGTTCAATTCCGGTCAAGGGCATGTACCTTGGTTGTGGGCACATCCCCAGTAGGGGTTGTGCAAGAGGCAGCTGATCGATGATTCTCTCATCGATGTTTCTAACTCTCTATCCTTCTCACTTCCGTTCTGTAAAAAATCAATAAAAAATATATTAAAAAAAATTAACAGAGACTCAAAAGCAGTCAAGTTACTAATACAGAACCTATTTTATTTATGTGGAAAAAAAGGTACAAATAAAGGGGCACTTAAAATGTAATCTTTTCCTTTGAGCCTGAGAACTATTCTCTAATTAGTTTTTAAACATTTTAACCTTAGCATAGTCCTGCAAGTTATACCAAGAGTCTATACTTAAGGATTAAAAAGAGAAACTTCAGTCTACAAGTGAAAGAATGAGAGGGGATCAGAAATAATACTTACAGTTTCATATAACTGGCAACACATCCCCTAATCAACCAGAAAATGTTCTTTTCACCAGAGAAGCTATGTAAAACTAAACCAGTTGTTAGCAAATAACTACTTTTTCTCTAAGCCACAGCAATAAGAATTAACAATGCTGAGTGCAGCAATACCATTGCATAAAATATCTGTTAATATAAATTTTTTAAATCTATACCCCCCAGTAACACTTAAATAAAACACACAATTAAAATAGCCTCACACCAGAAGGTCATTTCCAAAAGAAAGCCATGTTTCCTATTTCATGGGCCCTGGCATAAAATGGATAATAACTTGATTGTTTTCATATTTTATAAATTATATATAATAAATTTATTATAGCGTATTAATTAAAACGTATTGTATAGTTGAAAAATGAAGATAAAAGTATAATGTACTAATTCATAAAATTGTAAATAGGCCTTGTACCTTTGCATAATGTAACAGAGCTGGTTCAGGATACTGGAATCCAGACTGAGGAGTGCAATATAGAAGATCCCAGGAGGAAACAACACCACTAATGGAAGGTTATAATTCATATATATGTCACACACCTTTTGGAGAGAACATAACATCAGTATATAGATTATTCCCAGAACCCTCAACAAGTTCATCCAAAGAATCATCAGTAGAGAATAAGCAATACTACTAGTATACCATCAAGTTGGGGCATTCCTAATTCATCAATAGAATAGGTAGTCACAAGCCTGCTTAAAAATGTACCTCACCAAACATTGGCCATTATCATAGAGGATTATATTCAGAAGATCATTAAAATCTTTCTCTTTTTCTGGGGACAGATCTCAGAGTTGGTGAGAAAGGGAGCATTTCTTTCTCCTTAAGTTCCATGAATATTGACTTATTCTATTAGCTAGATGTCAACCTAGAAAACAGAGGAATATACTTCTAAGCAAATTTAATACAAGACAAGTAGGTATTGGGAAAGGGAAGAAGCCAGGAAAACAGATTAATGACTACTTCCTGAATAATAGTTCTGTCCAGACCAAATAAACAATACAAGAGCACCAGAATCATAGGTGCTGGGAGAAATAAAGCTGTTGAAAGATGGAAGCAAAGAACTGAAGAAACAAGAAGGTACTTTCAATTTTTTCCCAAGGACTGAGACTTATAAAGGATGAGCAAAAAGTGAGGCTAGAGACGAACTTCTGTCTAAGGCCAGCATTATTCAGGAGAATGTCTATTAAAGTGGTACTTGGAATTTTCAAAAAGAGCATTTGTTTTTCCATTTTGTTTTATGAAAGTCACTTATTCATGTGAGAATATAATCACTAACTTTAAATATGTAGCTTATTTAACTATGCAACTTAATGATTATAAATAAAATTGAAATAACAGATGAGTAAAGCAGAAAGCCATCACAAAAATCTAAATAGGGTAAATGGGATGTGTACCACCTTTTCATAGAAATCCAAAACAAAGTGCAGCAAGAAAGTACTATTGCTTTCCAAGCGCAATCCATTAATGGACAGCCACCCTACATAGTTAATTAGTTCAGACACAGACTGCATGGATCCACTGAAAGTTGTCTCTCTGTAATAAGAAAACACGAAAATCAGATACATATTAGCAAAATTTCTCACAATTTCCAATCTAAAGCTGAATAAATATAGCAAAGATAGTTAGATATTTCAGATAATGATCTGTGTTCCAATGTATAATTCACTTTTTTAAACCACAGTGATTAACCATAAAACTGCACAGCCCCATAAGGAACCATTAAGATCAATTCATAGAACAGCCTCAGCAATCACTCTATTAGTAAATTCCAGAGAAATAAAGGATTAAGCTCCAAACAGACTTTAGATAATAACCGAAGTAGTTATTATCTATTGTCCAGGGAACACAATAGTCAGCAAATTAGTTTCGAAGCACACAAACCAAAACCCAGTTTTGTCTGAATTCCTGAGCTAAAATACTATTAAAAACATTTCACTTTAACTGGAATCCAATTCATTCCTAAAACAGAGTTAGTAAAATTTTGGCATATTTTACATTTTTCTCAAATCATTGAACTATATATCTTTAAATCATGGGTATAATTGGTTCAATTTGTCCATCTGCTCCCCCCTATCCTTCAATCTACTGTTGAGCAGGTTAGGAAAAAACCTAGGAATGTGACTTTATAGCTTTACCCTCTAATCTAGATAGCCAACAATGGTTATACACATGGAAAATGGAATAGTATACAGTCTTTGAACTTGAGAGACAATAATGACTCTCCTATTTCCCACCATCATACTTCAGTGTCAGAGAAAGAAAGGAAAGATTAGGAGACCACCCAAATAAGCGGGAATTCAAGTACGGTATCTATCAGATGAGTGGATCAAAAAAGCTCTGGTATCTTACCTAATAATAGACAAATATGTAAATTGACCATACCTCCTCTATGCCCACAGCCAATCAGAATGGGTATGCAAATTAACCCATCAAAGATGGTGGTAAATTTGCATACGCAGGCAGGGCAGGCAGCACCATGGCCCACTTCTGGGGGTACGGGTCCAATGGGGGTGGAGGAGACTTGGCGGGCAGCACCAGACACTTCCCACAAGGTACCAAACCATCAGCCCAGGAAGGAGGGGTGGGCAGTGCCATACGCCACTGGAGGGGTCCGGGTTCATCGCAGGCCCCAGGAGGGGCAATGGTCTGCTTAGCCACTTCCTGCAGGACCCTCAGAACATTGCTGCCCCAGGGAGGCACTGCCAGGCCTGCCTAGCTACTCCAGTGGGACTCTGGGAACATTGCTGCCCCAGAAAGGCGGAGGCTGGGCCACCCTATCCACGCCCATGGTGCTCTGGGAACATTGCAGACATGGGGTTACTGAGACCCAGACCAGACCTCTGGCCACAGATGCACAGCTTCAAGGAGACTGAGGGCAGGGATCTGCCTCACCTGCAGAGAGACAGAGGTTCTGCAGTGGCCCCAAGACGCGGGTGGGCCTAGCCAGGGATCAAGGGGCATGGAAGGATTCCTGGGCAGAGGGGCAAGGACCCTCACCCCTGAAGCGGGAGGGGGGGGGTTAAAGGGTGGTGCCACCTCAGTGGAGGGGTGCTGCACTGCAGGGTACTGGACTGACTGATGTGATTCAGAGAAGCTCCCAGTGCTAACCGGCCTAGGCCTCGCCCAGGTGGCCTTCGCACTTCAGAGGCAGTGACTCCTGCTCCCACCTTGACCCAAAAGCAGGCCCGCGGTGCCCTGCCCCATGGCAGAGCATGCCTAGGCAGTGAGTGCGAAACCTTCCACCTGCTCCAGAGAAGCAGGGGCAGTAAAGAATGGGGGCAGGGGATTGAGGAGAGGAAATGTGGAGCATTGGCAATGAAGAGGTGCTTGAGAAAGAGGCTTGGAAGTCTGATGGGAAGGTTTCTTCTATTTGCCTGGCGGCTGCCCCTTAACAAGGACAAAGAGCATGGCTCTGAGGACTTCCTGTGTGCTGAGTCAAGTTCCACAGCCAACTGGAATTGGCCTGTTTCCTGGTGTGTAAAATGGATGAAGCGTGTCCCAGTGCCTCCACTGAGCTTTGATGGCCAATTGAGATACTATATAAAGAAAGTGAGGGAAGAAGTGAGAAAGAAAAGGAAGGATGAGCAACACAAAAGAAAGACTGGAAGGAACCTGTAAACCCATTGTCACTTAAATAGGGAATATAGTCAATAGTGTTGTAATGGCTGAAACCAGTTTGGCTCAGTGGATAGAGCGTCGGTCTGCGGGCTGAAAGGTTCCAGGTATGATTCCAGTCAAGGACATGTACTTTGGTTGTGGGCACATCCCCAGTAGGGGGTGTGCAGGAGGCAGCTGGTTGATGGTTCTCTCTCATCGATGTTTCTAGCTCTCTATCCCTCTCCCTTTCTCTCTGTAAATAAAACAAAAAAAAAAATTAAAAAAATAGTGTTGTAATGATGGTATGATGCCAGGTGGGTACTGGAAATATCAAGGAATACTTTGTAAAGTATATGATTGTCTAACCACTATTCTGTAACTAATATAAAACCTGAAACCAATACAAAATAATATTGAATGTAAAGAAATGAAAATTAGAGTGAAATTTTTATAAATTCCAAAGTTTAAATAAAAGCTGTAAAGGAAGGAAGTGGAGAATAAAAATATTGTTTTTGATTTTACCACTTCATTATCTTTTCAGTACATGAAAAATAGTTGCTTTATATGGTGCTTTTATATTTTTCTAAGTCATTATCTCATTTTAGGGCAACTTAAAAAGACAAGATAATTATTCCCTCCACTATTCAAAGAAAGGAAATCATTTTTTAAAATATATTTTATTGATTTTTTTTTTACAGAGAGGAAGGGAGAGGAGAGAGAGAGAGCTAGAAACATCGATGAGAGAGAGACATCGATCAGCTGCCTCCTGCATACCCCACACTGGGGATGTGCCTGCAACCAATGTGCATGCCCTTGACTGGAATCGAACCTGGGACCTTTCAGTCCGCAGATCGAAGCTCTATCCGCTGAGCCAAACCGGTTTTGAAAAAGAAAGGAAATCTTGGTGTCTGGTCCTAATGATTCAATTGCCAAGCCCTTATTGTAAAGCAAGGTTAGTAAAATTTTCCTTGAAATGTCATAGCTCTACTAATAAAAGCCTTGGGGGTGATCAGGCCAGCAGGGGAGGGTAGGTAGTTGGGGGCAATCAGGCAGGCAGGTGAGCAGTTAGGAGCCAGTGGTCCCGGATTGTGAGAGGGATGTTCAACTACAGGTTTAGACCCAAGGGATCAGGCCTAAACCTGCAGTTGGAAATCCCCCGAGGGGTTCCATATTGAAGAGGATACAGGCTGGGCTGAGGGACACCCTCCCCAGTGCACAAATTTTGTTCACCGGGCCCTTAGTATTCATATAAAGAAATATTATTCTGTCACAAAAAAGGAAGAAATTTTACCCTTTGTGGCAACATAGGAAAACATTATGGAAAACTTTATGCTAAGTGAAATAAACCAGTCATAGCAAGACAAGTACCACATGATTTCACTCATATGTGCAATTTAATGAACTGAGCTACCAAGCAAAATAGAGACAGACTCATATATAGAGAGCAGGCAGACAGGTCTGGTGAGGGAGGGTTGTGTGTGTGTGTGTGTGTCGGGGGTGTGCAGGGTTTGAACAAAAAAGGAAAAAAAAAAAACAGAATTCATGGATACGAGCAACAGTGTGGTGATTGCCAGGGAAGGGGAGGGAGGAAATGGATGGACGTGGAGGAGGACATAGAGGGGACAAATTGTGATGAGGGGAAAAAAACAACAAATAAGCGGGCATCCATATAGTCAGCCAGCCATTTGGAAAGCTATTTTAACTATGATTTTTGGCAACGCTTGGTAAATGCAGGTGAAATAAATTTGAACAATGAAGATTGCTTAGAAAAACGTCCTTCAAAGTGTATCTCCACAGGACACTGCTGGCATTTCAGATGAAACAATTTGATGTTCAGGACTATATCCTACTCCCTACCCACTGCAGCATGTTTAACATCCCTGGCTCCTATTTGTTAATGATGGGAACACCCTCTTTCTAGTCACTGTGCCAACCAACAATGACCCCCTAGAGAACATTTTCCTACCTTTTGTTCCTTGTGATTCACAACTACAATTTACTCCCTCTTTGAGAGTCATATGGCATATGATGGAAACATGGCATTATACCCATACCCCCCAAATAGCAGGAATTACTAAGAACTTATTAAGAGCTACTAGTGGCCAAGCACACAAAATTCGTGCACAGGGGGAAGGGTGTCCCTCAGCCTGGCTGGCACCCTCTCCACTCTGGGACCCTTCAGGGATGTCTGACTGCTGGATCAGGCCTAAACCGACAGTTAGACATCCCTCTCGCAATCCAGGACTGCTGGCTCCTAACTGCTGACCTGCCTGCCTGATCGCCCCTAACCACTCTGCCTGCTGACCTGCTTGCCCCCAATTGGCCCCCTGCCAACCTGATCGCCCCCAACTGCTCCCTACTGTTGGCCTGCTTGCCCCCAATTGCCCCCCAGCAAGAACTGATCACCCCCAACTGCCCTCCCCTCCTGGCCTGATCGCCCCTAACCATCTTTGCCTCAGCCTACCACCATGGCACTGTCAGAAAGGATGTCTAAAAGGTCTCCAGGTCTGATGAGCACATTACCCTTTTATTAGTATAGAAGATAGAGGCCTGGTGCATGGGTAGGGGCCGGCTAGTGTGCCCTGAAGAGGCTCTCAGATCAGGGTTGGGGGGTCCCCTTATGGGGTTGGGCCGACCTGGGTGAGGGTTGGCAGGCTGGCCACGCCGCCCCCATCAGGGTGGGGGCAGCAGCTGAGGGCCATGGCAAGCCTGGGAGAAGGGTTGAAGGTCATTTGCAGGCCGGCCACAACTCTATTAGGGTGGGGCTCCCCGCTGGGAGGCAGGGCCAGCATGGGCGAGGGGCTGAGGGACATTTGCAGGCCGGCCACACACCCATCAGGGTAGGGTCCTCACTGAGGGGCATGACTAGCTTAGACGAGGGGCTGAGGGCGATTTGGGGGTGGTTTGCAGGCAGACCAAGCCCCCAGCTTTGTCCTGAAGGTCTCACAGTCTAATTAGCACATTACTCTTTTATTAGTATCTACACTAATAAAAGAGAAAGATGCAAATTGACCATACCTCCACGACATCCACCAGCCAATCAGGAGTGAGTATCAAATTAACCCAACAAAGATGAAAGGTTAATTTGCATATGCAGGTGTTAAGCTGCCAGTGGTGGGGTAGTGCCAAGCGGCCTGGGTCCCAGGGGCAGGCGTCAAGTCCGCAGCCTCCCGGGACCAACACCAGCCACAGGAGGCAAGAGTGGCCACGCCAAGCCATGCCCGCAGGCTCCCAGGACCATCACTGGCCCCTGGAGGTGAGGGCGGCCACGCAGCTTGACAGCGGACAGCAGGGCCTGCTTGGCCATAGCCATAATGACACACGAGCAGGCAAGCGGGACTGCAGGCAGCACCCAGCAGGGCCTGCTTGGCCGTCGCCAGGGTAACCCGGGAACAGGCAAGCGCAGCTCGCAGGCAGCACACAACAGAGCCTGCTTGGCCGTCGCTGTGGCGACTCAGGGATAGGCAAGCGCAGCCTGCAAGCAGCACACCCAGCATGGCCTGGTTGGCCATTGCCATGGTGACCTGCAAGCAGGCAAGCGCCCAGCAGGGACTATTTTCCCACAGGAGGCAGGCCCCACAGAGAGCATAGAACCATGGGGAGTGGGCCTAAGCCATCAGTAGGACATTCCTTGAGGACTCCCAGTTTGGAGAGGCTGCACAAATTTCGTGCAATGGGCCTCTAGTAGATATTATAAGACAAGTAGTATTACAACAAGCGAAGTTATCTACATTTATTTTTTTAAATATATATTTTTATTTATTTCAAATAGGAAAGGAGAGGTATAAAGGAAGAGAAACATCAATGAGCATCATTGATCAGCTGCCTCTACATGCCCCCTTTTGGGGATCAAGACCACAACCTGGGAATCAAACCAGTAATCTCCTGGTTCATAGGATGACACTCAACCACTGAGCCACACTGGCTGGGCGTTATCTACATTAACATCCACTTACTTGTTTTAAGAATTTTAGAAAGCAGAGCTCCTTTATAAATGCCTTCCCAAAATGTACAACACTACTTTAAAAAGGATCCTAGGATTGGGGAAAGAAATATAGAAATTGTAAAGTACCTATATGAGGATATCTAAGATTTACCCCTGCAAGTTGGGCAAAGATTATACATGCAAACATACTATTCTTAATAGAATTGAGGTGTTCAAAAAGGTTAAACATGTAAATGAAATTTCTTAGTGATAGTGGTTCTCAAACATTAGCTTACACCAAAACTGCAGAAGCATTTGTTAAACACGCAGATTACTGGATCCTTCCTCCAGGAATAATGTTAGCAGGTCAAGGATAGGGCCTGAGAATTTGAATCTCTAACAAGTTCCCAAGTGATATTGATGGTGTTGGTCCAGGGACCACACTTTGAAAAGCACAGCTTTACTACCCCCAAATACTCTATTTCCTTCTAACAGTGACACATGATGTATGGAAGCATTGCAGTAATAAATATGAAGATTTAAAAACAATTTACCAAGCTACTGCCAATAAGCTTTTCTTCTTTATTCTACTAACAGACTGAGAGATCACTATACAAATAAGAACATAGAGAAAAATAGTTCTGGGCCTAACTTTTAACTAAGCTAATCAGCAGTTATTTGCAAGTGAAGCTGAGGGACCCTTACCTGATCAAGAATATGACTGATAATATAGGAATTTGAATATTGATTAGATATTTTAAAATATTAAGAACTATTGAATTTTAGGTATTATACTAATACTACAGGCCTGGTGTAAGAAATTCACGTAGGGGTAAGGTCCCTAGTCCTGGCCTGCAATCAGGGCCATCTTTCCTGGTTGCTCACAGCCATAGCCACCTCCTGCCACCACCCACCCCTGGTTCCCCATTTGCCATTGGATGGGAGGTCGGCTGTTGCTGCCTGCTCGCCAACCCCACCCCTGCCACGGGGTGGCCATCAGATAATCAGAGACTGCCAGCCGGGGAAAGGAATCAAGAGGTGGTCAGTGTGCCTCATAGTGATTGATCCAGCGGTTGTTCTGGTCATTCTGCCCTTAGGGTCAATTTGCATATTACCCTTTTATTTTATATGAGAGAGACCTGGTACATGGGTGAAGGTCCACTGGCCTGCCCCAAAGGGGGCCCCCCGGAATGGAGTTGGGATTCCCATTGAGGGGCAGGGCTGGCCTGGACAAGGGGCTACAGAGTGTCTGCAGGATAGCCACGTCCCCAATCGGGGTGGGGGTCTCAACTGGGGGGGGGCAGGGACAGGCTGGGCAAGGAGCCACCAGGGCTTTGCAGGCAGGCCACACCCCCGGCTTTATCAGAAAGGATGTCTGGAATGATATCCAGAAGATGTCTGGTCTATCTGGTCTAATTAGCATAGTACACTTTTATTAGTATAAATCATTTTTTCAACAGTTGAAATGATGTCTGGGCTTTGCTATTATATGGAGGAGGAGGTAAGAGAGAAGTGTTATAGATGAAAAAGAGTTAACCATGTGTTGATTAACCTGAAGCTGGATGATGTGTATATACATGGGGTAACATCATGCTAGTTTCTCTACTTTTGTTTATGTTTGTAATTTCCTTTAATACAAAGTTTTCAAAAACAATGTTAAAAATAATGTGGCTGATAACAGAATATAGAAGTCAAAGGTTGTAGGTAGAGTTATAACAATCTAAGTAGGCAAATCCTTGAAATTTAGTCTTTTACTTTCACGTTGAGGGTAAAGTACACATTGTTAAAAAAAAACACATCATAATGGAAATTCATATGTATAACCAAAATATATCAGAGAAACAAAAAACAAAACTGAACTGAGTAATTACAGATTTTCCTAGCCAGCATCAAAATTGACTTCATATATATATAAGACTACATTTTATAAAGTGAGCTAAACTGAATTGAAGCCAAAGTTGCAAGTTTTAATGTCAGCTCTACAATGTTTTGCTCTATTAATTCTTGAAAGTGGAGGGAGGGCAGTTAGGGGTGACTTGTTCATATGGTGATGGTGGCAGCGAAGCTCCAGGCCCAGCAGAGAGTGGACAGCAGGGCATGGCGGCTTCATTTACACAGCGACGGCAAAGCTCCGAGGCCCCGCAGACAGAGAGCAGATAGCAGGGTGTGGCAGTGAAGTAGCCTGGCCCACAGAGAGCAGAGAGCCATGGGGAGTGGGCCTATGCTGTCAGTAGGACATGCCCTGACAGCTCCTGGATTAGAGAGGGTAAAGGTCAGGCTAAGGGACCCCACCCCCTGCACGAATTTCATGCACTGACCCTCTAGTATATAATAAAAGGATCATATGCAAACAGACAAAATAGCAGAACAACCAACCAATCAAATCATAATATGCTAAATGATATGCTAAGGCTGCTCAACCACTTGCTATGAAGTGCATTGATCACCAGGGGGCAGACAATTGACCGGTAGACCAGTCGTTATGACATGCACTGACCACCAGGGGGCAGATGCTCCAACTGGTACGTTAGCTTGCTGCTGGGATCTGACCGATCGGGGCTGAGTGAGATTGGCCAGACACGCCCTGGAGCTCTCCCACGGTCCCTTCCCAGTCGATCGTGCACCAGTGGGTTCCCTCAGCCGGGCCTGTGCCCTCTTGCAATCCAGGAGCCCTCGATGGATTACGGAGAGCCGGTTTCAGCCCAACCCCACAGGCCATTCCCCTTGGGAGGATACCAGACACAGGGCTCATGGCTGGGAAACACTGCTGTGGCATTGGGTGAGAGCCCGCAGCAGGCACTGGGCTTGGGATGAATGGGAGCACCAGGTAGGAGCTGCAGGCGGTATTGGACTGTGGGTTTCGGCCTGATCCGTGCAGGCCAACCAGAGGGACCCCACCCATGCATGAATTCATGCACCGGGCTTCTAGTACAGAGGTTGGCAAATTCATTAGTCAACAGAGCCAAATATCAACAGTACAATTAAAATTTCTTTTGCGAGCCAAATTTTTTAAACTTACCTTCTTCTAACGCCACTTCTTCAAAACAGACTCGCCCAAGCCATGGTATTTTGTGGAAGAGCCACACTCAAGGGACCAAAGAGCCACACGTGGCTTGCAAGCTACAGTTTGCTGACCACAGCTCTAGTATATATATATAAAAGGCTAATATGCAAAGTGTCCCCTCAGGAATTCAACCCAGAGATCAAGAGTTCGATAGCTTGCTATGACATGTGCTAACCACCAGGGGGTGGTGCAGAGCAAAGGATGGCCCCTGCCAGCAGCAGACAGCCAGAGAAGGAAGGCCCTAGCTAGCAGCCGGAAGGCCCCAATTGGCCCTGATGGCCGGCCAGGAGTAGGGACCCTACCTGTGCACGAATTTTGTGCACCGGGCCTCTAGTGTGTATACACACATTACACACACACACTCTTGAGTGGCTAGATTATTATGACCTCTGAATGCATAATAATCTGTGTGTGTATGTGTATGTGTATGTGCATGTGCGTGTGCGTGTGTGTGTGTGTGTGTGTGTGTGTGTGTGTACATTAGAGGCCCGGTGCATGAATCCATGCATGGATGGGGTCCAGTCAGCCTGGCCAGGGGGAGGGGACATGGGCGGTTGGCCAGCCTGCTTGCTGGTCGAACTCCTGCATTGAGGTGACAATTTGCATATTGGCCTTTTATTATATAGGATATACTCTGAGTGGCCAGATTATTATGCATTCAGAGATCACAATAATCTGGCCACTCAGAGTGTATATTGTGTGTATGCATATGTATATATATATTCAGAAAAAGTATGACTAAATGTTTATATAAAACAATTCTGTCTTATGCCACACTATTAAACTCCATATACAAATATTTTTATACAGATCTATCTCTTTTAAAGAATTGTAAGATAACTCACAGGGAACTGTCCGTCACAGTTTTCATGTGGATGTCCATAGAAAGCCACAACAGCCAATTCTGCAGTAGCTCTTTCAGGTTCTCAAGAACACTACACTGAGGGAGCAAAACAAAAACTCATTTGTAAAAACATTCAGACACACCATAGTGTTGACAATTAACCATCTAAACCATAGACTTAAAAGAGAAAGGGACCATGAAGATGACTGCATCCAATTCAGAACACAATAGTTGCCACTCCAACCTGATTTGTCTCCAGCAGACAGATGAATGTAACTACAAGTTTATTTTGCTGTTTTCTCTACTGGACTGATTCCAGCTTATCAGCCTAGGAACAAACCCTTGTTTCCCTAAATTACACTCATATAACAGATAGTACATCATCAAATACAACATCACCCACTACTATGTTCTCTCCTCAGTTCCTTTGGGGTTGCTATAGTTTCTCACCCTTTTCACCTTCTGTCTAAACCTACAATTTATTCCTTGTTGATGGTAATGAAATTTATCTTGTCTTCTGTGACTATGGAAAAAAAAAACAATTCTAGTTTTTCTTTTCTCAGGCCTTTCCTTAATTTTTCCAGGACCTCACTGACATACAAAAATAAATTTGACAGAGTGTGCTTGGGGCATCTATGAGAATAATTCATATTATCTATAAATTTGAAAGCAATCCATATCACCCCAAAACTAAACGCAGGAAAGATTTTTTATTTTGTTAATCCTTACCTGAGGATATTTTCCCACTGATATTTAGAGTGGAAGGAAGGGAGGTGGAGAGAGAGAGAAAGAGAGAAAAACACCAATGTGAGAGAGATACATCCACTGGTGCCTCTAGCATGCCCCATAACTGGGACTGAGTTTGAACCTGCAATCCGGATATGTGCCCTTGATGAGGAATTGAACCTATGACCATTTGGTGTGAGGGCAGATGCTCTTACCACTGAGCAACACCAGCCAGAGCCAGTAAAGCTTTCTTAAACATTCTTAATAAACAATGGACTAGATACTATCTGAACAACTCCAGTGATAGGGTGCTCATTGTTACTTCATATAAACAGTACAATTAATATTTTTTAGAATGTGAACAAAAAAGGGGGTATGTGTAAGTTCAGTGACAGAAGTAATTTTACATGGTGATCTGACCATAAATTCCTAACTGGGCAGGTCATGATGGACAGTCACATCCTAGGCATATAACTTCATTAGTAAGAGGTTTTAACCAGGCCTGGCTGGTGTGGCTCGGTTGGTTGGGTGTCGTTCCATGCACTAAAAGTTGTTGGTTGGGCAGTAATCAGTATGTCTCAGTGGATAGAGTGTCGGCCTGCAGACTGAAGGGTCCCAGGTTTGATTCTAGTCAAGGGCATGTACCTTGGTTGTGGGGACATCCCCAGGAGGGAGTGTGCAGGAGGCAGCTGAATCGATGGATGTTTCTCTCTCACTGATGTTTCTAACTCTCTATCCCTCTCCCTGTCTCTCTGGGGGAGGGAAAAAAAAAAAATATATATATATATATATATATATATATATATATTTTTTTTTTAATGAAAAAAAAAATTGCTGGTTGGATTCCAAGTCAAGGTACAAGCCTGGGTTGTGGGCTGAATCCCCAGTAGGGGGCATGTAAGAGGTAGCAGAACAATGTTTCACTCTCAGGTTGATCTCTCTCTCTCTCTCTCTCTCTCTCTCTCGCTCTCGCTCTTTCTCTCTCTCTGCTTCTCTAAATATCAATTAAAAATATTTTTTAAAAAGGTTTCTCAGCAAGTACTGTCCATTATTCTTTTTTAAAATTTTATTTTACTGTTTAAAGTATTACATATAATAGTACATATATCTCCTTTATGTCCATTATTCTTGTGTATTTAGGTCAACATCCCTTTGAAATGTCAGAAGTAATCTTTTCCAGACCACCTTCAAGGGAGCTCATAATCTTGTTAACTATCCTGAGGTCCAATCCTGTCTTGCTTTCTCCCATCCTATATAATAAAGAGGTAACATGAAAATTTACCCTAACACCCTCACACAAGATAGCCGCCCCCATGTGGTTAAAGATTGCCACCATAAGATGGCCAACAAGGGAGGGTAGTTGTGGGCAATCAAGCCAGCAGGGGAGAGCAGTTAGGGGTGAGCAGGCCTGTAGGGGAGGGCAGTGGGGGCAACTGGGCCATCAGGGGAGGGCAGTTGGGGGCAATTGGGCTAGTAGGGGAGGGCAGATAGGCATCAATCAGGCTGGCAGGGGAATGTTAGGGGTGATCAGTTTGGCTGGCAGGCGAGTGGTTGGGAGTCAGCAGTCCGGGATTGTGAGATTTGGCCTAAACCAGCAGATAAGACATCCCCCGAGGGGTAGATTGGAAAGGATGCAGGCTGGGCTGAGGGACACCCCCACCCCAGTGCATGAATTTCGTGCATCGGGCCTCTAGTTTTCATATAACCTTCCTTAAGTTTCCTCCTTAATTCCAAAGCATAAAAGAAACAACAAAACTATTATTCTCTGCAGCATTTGAGATCTTGCTTCGCGGCATGTCATTAGTTTTGCTCAAATAAACTTTGACAAAAATTCTCTACAAGTTTGAAACTTTCAATAAGAAATTAACACCTTAAAAAAAAAAAGAAATTGACACCTTACTTTCAGGTATGAATGAAAGCCCCTTTAGTAGTCATCTATAGTTTCTTGTACTCTATACTACTCTGTGCTTCTTTGGCCCTTTCACTGACCCCTTCCTTCCCAGATCTTTCAATTGCAGTTTCCAGAACCTCTATTCCATGGTAATCTAAACCTACACCCTCAAAATATGCTTCCTCTGTCTTACTCTCACCAGATTTTGGCTCTCTCTCTCCTCCCAGTCTGGGTACTGTTTCCTCTAAATACATTTCCCTATTCCACTTCAACACTTGGGAGTAACACTGCCCCAGCTCCTCACTGCTAATATAGGAGAATGTAAACACCTTATTTTAGAAGGTAAATATAAAATCAGAAATAAATATTCCTTTTCAAAGGGAGCTTTAAAAAAATATAAAGAAAACAGATGAGCTCCTGGTAATGGGCAAGGAGAGATCTTATTGGTGGTGCTGCTCTTATATTAATCAGAGACAAAGCAGATGTACAGTCCTTAGTTCATCCTAGCTTGAGGCCTGTTTTGGTGGCCAGAGCTGATTCATGCCTGAGGCATATAAAAAAAATAAGAAAATAAATGGATGTTCTATTTAATCAGGTACCACAGGGGGAAAAAACTGCCTAGCTTTCAAATATTTGCAAATGTTTGTTGAGCTACAGAACCTCATTAGCAGTAGTATTAGCTGAATTTGTTAGGCTAAGATCAAAGACCCTATTTCAGATTGCACTTTGCTACAGTCAGTTTTTCTCATGAATTTGACTATTCTTTGGTTTTTGGAACACAAACCAAAAACTATCTATCTTCAACACTATTTCCAAACTATTATTCCACCTTTCTTATATAAAAAACATCTTTCTCTTTTGTTGTATACTACCTTTACTTTTTATTTTTCTCTATCTCTCCTACCTACCTCCTGGAAACGCATCTACATTCATTGAGAACCTTAGCACCCTCTGCCTCAAGTCCTTCCATCAGTACCTCAGTTATGTCAGTGTCCATGAAGATGGTCAACCTAATACTTCAGCTTTACAGTTCCTTGACCTCAAACCAAATAATTTTCACCTTCATTTTACCTTAGTTATCTATTCAGAGCCACACATTAAATTGTACCTGAACTGAACCACCACCAACATCTATTATCCTTTCGCTGTTATGACCTCCTATTCTTCTAGTTTTCTCACACTCTCAACTCCTACTTGTTGCTCTTTAACTTCAGATACATTCAATCCCTTGATTCTTCCTTTTTAATGTCACTTTTCAGTCTTTTTAACCTTCTTTTAGCCTCACCTTCCTATCTAGAGTAGACCACATGGTCAATAATTCACAATTCTCTTTCATTCCATTTCACCAGCAAAATCCTAATTGATTCAATCCCATCATTTACTTTACTCCTACATCTAAGCTAAAGAAACCACCAATTGGAACCACTCCAAATTTATGGTCTCCAACTTCATCTGGGCCCCAAATGAAGCACAATAATCCTTTTATTTATCTCCAATCAGCTCCGTCTCTTATTTTTATCAGTAGCTGTTTTAGGTACATAATATCCTTCTGAACCCCCCTAATCATTTCTATCCTCTATAACGCACATCTTATTTTGAGAAATTTAACATTTCTAGTCACAAAGTATTTCAATTTCCTGTCCTTTCTTCCAGCTGTGTGTGTCTGTGTGTGTTCTAGAAGCCTGATGCATAAAATTCATGCATGGGGGTGTCCCTCAGCCCAGCCTGTACCCTCTCAAATCTAGAACCTCTCTCAAAATCCAGGAATGCTGGCTCTCAACCGCTTGCCTGTCTGCCTGCATGATTGCACCTAACCACTTCTGCCTGCCAGCCTGATGACCCCCTAACCACTAGCTTGCCAGCCTGATCGATGTCTAACGGTTCTCCTGCCAATCCGATTGCCCCTAACTGCCCTCCCCTGCTGGCCTGGTCACCCCTAACTGCCCTTCCTTGCCAGCCTGGTCACCCCTAACTGCCCTCCCCTGCATGCCTGGTCCCTCTCAACTGTCCTCCCTTACTGGCCTGATTGCCCACAACTGCCCTTCCCTGCTGGCCATCTTTTGGTGGCCATCTTGTGTCCACATGGGAGTGGTCATTTTGTGTGCTGGAGTGACGGTCAATTTGCATATTAACTCTTTATTTTATATATATATATATATATATATATATATATATATATATATCCATCCATCCTATACATATATATCCTTGACCTAGCCTTAGAGAATAAGTGGTACATGCCAATTCTCAACATCCATTCAAACAAATCCCTTTATATAGTCTTAAACCAGTATCTTCATGTTTCTTCTGAAACCCTGCATCATCAATTATGTCCCATCCTTCCTCCATTTTCCACCTCTCCTTTTCGTAACTGGTTCCTTCTATTCTAACTATAAACATGCTCAGGTTTGTCTCATTCTGGAGACAAAAAACAAAAAGAAAAATAAAATCCACAATCTTCCTTTGATTCAAAGTCCTACTATAGCTATCTTTCTATCTCTTCTTTTCAGCTAAACTTTTGGAAACATAGTCTATACTTACTGTCTTATCTTCACTTCTCATTGACTCCTCAAGTTCTATAATCTGGCTTCTACCACACTCCAATGAAACTGTTCACAAAGATAGCTCAAACCTCTGAATTATCACACACCCCCCCCCCCAATTTTTGGCCCTTATCTTTCTGGACCTTCCTGGGATAGTGGCAATATTATTACTTCATTCCTTGATATCCTGTATTATTCATTTACTTGGCACTATTGTTTTCCGGATTCTTTTCATACTTTTTACAAATTAAATTTACTTGAGTAACATTGGTTAATAACATTATATTTTAATACTTTTTGAAAAGGTTCCCTCATAGACTTGCCTTTTAGTTGAGAATTAAATAAGTATTCCTGAATTCTGTCCTTAACCCACTATCTATTTCCCTTTCCAATCCCTTCCTTTCCTTATCTCCCACTTTCAAATACAAATATATCCCTCATCTAAAAAAAATGGTTCAACATAATATTTATAGATAAATAGTTCTCTAGACTGGTGAAATGAGAAGAAATAAAGAATTACCAAATTAGAAAATCAGAAGAGAATCACAAAAAGCTATTAAATGGAGTTCTTGAAAATACAATAGCTGGAAGTGGTGTGTATTGGTCTAGTAGTAAATTATAAATAATACAAATAAATTTCAAATCCACATTAATGTGATAGGTAATTAATAAAATGCCATTTGATTATAACGAATTCTCGGATAAGATATTTTTCCTATAAGTGTGGCCAACAGTAGGTGAATTAAATTGAAGAAAAATTATAAAAGAAATATTATTAATGTTGTCACTCTTCTGGAATAGGAATAATCATTCTATAAGAAAGTGGCTCTCAAACTCAGGTAGAACTCCTGGAAGCCACAGCAGTCTTTCTGGAGACCCCAAAATAGTAACACAAGTAATAATATAAGGTTGGAACAATTATTAGCAGAAAACAACTATATTATAAATATATAGTATGAGTGTCACAGCGAGTTTTGTTTTCTTTGGTCATTACTGTTTTTCCAGTGTCAAAAAGGGTGTCTAGCACATAGTGGATGCTCAATAAATAATGGTGAAATGAATAAGTGTATTTACAAAAATATTGACCACAATAATCAAACTAAATATACTTAAGTATTTCCCAATTGGTTTTTATTAATACTTACTTGCAACCTGTTAATTCACTTCGTTATCTGCTACAAGAGGAAAGAGTTTAAGAACTATGTGCAACCAAAATCTTAAAAACATAAAATTATGCATTAACTTTTATTTCAGTAATGTAGAACCTCAAGTCCAGGTTCAACAAAATCCTGTTAGAAAACCATTACCATAATGTGGGTTTGGAATCGTACCACCGGTCGTAGGATAATATTCCCTACTCAATTTAGTCAAGATAGTATTTAGTGTTTTCCTTTTACCTTGAAATAAATGGTTGATGTAAAAAAGAGCTGTGCCAGACGATCAAATATAAATGGCTTCACCTCTAGGAATTAAAAAAAAAAAAAGTATTCAGAATAGTTTTCATTAATATTACACTGAATAAAATATTATTCTAAGTTTTCATAATACATACCAGAGAAGCTGCTAAAAGGAAACCAGCTCACAAGTTGAAGGAACTGTGATCGACAACAGAAGCCATCCCAGAGAGGAAGGCTCTTATACAGGAATGCTTCACAGGAATAAAAACCCTCCTGTAACACAAGTTGATAATAACTCTTAAAACTCTTCAGTCTTAAGTGCTCTCTAAGCAATCAGCTTATTCTGCGATATACTTATTTTACCCTTAGATTAATTTTGTCATCAATATAATTAAAAGCCAAATTTCCCCATAAAAAGGATCAGATGATGAATTTTTGGGTATATTGCCATCTTTATCAACATAGCTTTCAAATGCCATAAACTTCATCAATTGGAAAGAAGCTAGAAAGTTACAGAATATCTTTAAAAATAAGTAAAATTTTATTATTTTGAAGAGCATGCAGCCACTTAAACAGTCAAAACGTATACAAGGCTGGAATTTCATTAGATATGACAGAGCAAATCCAAACTCTAGGCAGCTCCATATAGGCTGTTTATGTTTCCACCAAGATGAGTAGCCAAGGCTTTCCTTTTTCCTTTGTCACCTTGAGCCTTAAATAGTGGTATACAACAGCCCTGCCAGTGCGGCTCAGTGGTTGAACATCAAACCACGAACCAGGAGGTCACGGTTAAATTCCTGGTCAAGGCACATGACCAGATTATGGGCTCAATCCTCAATGGGTGGTGTGCAGGAGCAACCAATCAATGATTCTCTCTCATTGATGTTTCTATCTCTCCCTTCCTCTTTCTGAAGTCAATAAAAACATATTTAAAAAAAAAAAAAAACACACATAGAAGTGTGCACCAGAACTCCATTCTCGGCCTTCTTTGATAACATGAATTCTCTGAACAATCTCATCCATAACATAGCTAAAACTACCACCTATGCCATGAGCAGTCCTAATCTGTACCTCTATCCCAAATCTCATTCCCGAGCTCTAGATTTCTTATTTAACTGTCTACTATCTATGACCTCTTACATGTCCCACATGCATCTTTAAAACCAAATGTACCTTTCCTTCAAAGCCTGCTTCTCCTATACTCTCTTTCTCCCTGAATGCCATCATCATCCTTTCAAGCAGGAAACCTAAAAAGTCAACTAAATGTATGCCTTTATTTTCACCAATATTCACATCCAATTTCCAATTCCATTGTTCCACATCAAATCCTTAAGATGTATTCAGAGGAGAAACCAAGATGATGGCATAAGATAAACACCTATACTGCAGCCTCACACAACAATTTTAAAACTGCAAATGGAAGATAGAGTGAGCATTGTCCAGAACCACTGGAAAGCTGGCTGAGTGGAAATTCTACAACTAAGAAGGAAAGAGAAAAGAACACTTGAGATTCAGGAGCTGTGGAGGTGCGGAGACCCTTGCACGTGGAAAGGGCGGGCAGCTTAATACGTGGCTGGCTTACTCGCAGCGGCGCTTGGAGACTCGTGGCAGCTGCGCCCAGAGACTTGCGGCAGCTGGCCCTAGAGACTTGCAGAGCGCAGAGAGGGCAGGCAGCAAATGCGTGGCTAGCTTTCTAGTTTGGGAGGAAAATAAAACCTCCCAACTACACTGAAATCCAGCTCCAGTCAGGGAGAAACTGGACTGTCCAGCAGCAGGAGAAACTCGAGAGCAGCCTACTCTCAGAGGTGCATGCAGCCATTGCCATGGGACATAGGGAACAGGACCCTGAGGCTGTCTGCTCCACCCTGAGACTCCACCCCATCCAGGCTGAGCACAGAAACCCTCCCAGCAATGACACTGCTGATCCTCACAGCCATTTGGTTTGGAGATCAACTCCCCCCAATGATACCAACAACAATCAAGGCTTAACTACAACAAGACTGCACACACAGTCCACAAAGGGCTGCACCAAGAGTGTCCACCTCAGGTAACTGGGGAGCCTGAGCTACTGGGCCCTGCTTAGACACCTAGCACACAAAGCCACTCCATCAATTCAGGGAAGCAGCCAAAATGCGGAGACAAAGAGGCAGGCCATAATTGAAGGAAAAGGAGGAAAGCAAAAGACTGGATATAGAGTTCAAAACCACAGTTATAAGGTTTTTCAAGAATTTCCTAGAAAAGGCCGATAAATTTGATGAGACCCTTGAGGACATGAAAAAGGATCAACTAGAAAAAAAGTTGAAGATAGTGTAAGAAGCCTCTGGGACAACTTCAAGTGTACCAACATCAGAATTATGGGGTACTCCAGAAGAAGAGAGAGAGCAAAATATTGAAAACCTATTTGAAGAAATAGTGATCAAAAACTTCCCCCAACTGGTGAAAGAAATAGATTTACAAGTCCAGGAAGCACACAGAACCCCAAACAAGAGGAATCCAAAGAGAATCACACCAAGACACATCATAATTAAAATTCCAAGAGCAAAAGACAAAGAGAGAATATTAAAAGCAACAAGAGAAAAATAGTTAGTTACCTATAAGGGAGCACCTATACAATTGTCAGCTGATTTCTCAACAGAAACTATGAAGGCCAGATGGGAATGGCAAGAAATATTCAAAGTGATGAATACCAAGAAACTACAACCAAGATTATTCTACCTAGCAAAGCTATCATTCAGAATTGAAGGTCAGATAAAGAGCTTCACAGATAAGAAAAAGCTAAAGGAGTTCACCATAGCCAAATCAGAATTATATGAAATGCTGAAAGGTATTTTTTAAGAAGAAGAAGAAGAAGAAGAAGAAGAAAAAGATAAAGATAAAAATTATGAACAACAAATACGTATCTATCAACAAGTGAATCTAAAAACCAAGGGAATAAAAAATTTGATGAACAATATTAACTTGTGAATATAATAGAATCAGGGGCATAGAAAGGAAGTAGACTGACAATTCTCAGGGGAAAAGGAGAGTGGGAGGTAAGGAAAAAGACTGAATAAAAAGCGTCCATCTATGGAGAAGGACAATGGGGGGCGAGGGCAAGGACAGAGGGTAGGGTAGGAACCTGATGGAGAGGAGCTATGGGGGGGGGAAAGAAACAATTGTAATAATCTGAACAATATTTATTTTTTAAAAAAAGATGTATTCAACATTTATTGAGCATCTCTTTTGTTCCAGGTACCAAGCTGAACACCTGTACACGAAAAAAATTTAAACATGTTCTAACTCACTGGGTGCTCATAATGTGTAGAAATGTATCTATTAGTAGATGCTAAAAGTGCCATGATACAAGTAATGCAAGAGAGCTAAGGGAGCACATAGAGCACACATTTAAACCAGTGTTAGGTAAATGTTTCCCAATGATACCTGAGTTGTAGCTTACAATACAATTCAGGGCTATCCAGGCCAAAGAATTGGTTGGAACATACTCAATATTTTAAAAGCGTTCGTTGATTATAAAAACACAAGTAGTGACCCCAAGATATTTATCTTACCACCTAATTCAATTAATTGAACACATCCAATTGCATCTTCAGTTTGTTCTCTTAAATTACAGGACATTCTCTCTTATTTGCATAATTTAACAAATAATTTTCTTCAAGTCCAACAGTATAAAAACAAACATCTATTCAACTTGGCCCCATTTATAATGAGTTTTAAATTGAGCAAATATTGTTTGCAAAGGATGTTGAGCACTAAGAATAGGTATTCAATAGATAACCAAATACATTGCTAAGAAGCGATGGAGTGTGTACAAGTGGAATCTTACTTGTAAGAAGCACTCTGCCTTGATGATAGTGTCCAGGAAGTTGGTAAATTCTTTTTCACATTCATAATTATTCACCTTGTACCAAATACATTCTGTAGCAGAAATATGAAAGATAAACATCAGACTGCACAGCAATAAAAACTTCATAAAACATAATTACCATAACTCTAAAATAAAAAATAAATGACAAGCAATCAGTCTCATACACCTCAACATAACTGTAGATTGCAACAGAGGTGATAATGAGATATTCTTCACTAATACAGGGGGAAAGCCTATTGTGGAAAAAATACACATATAATATGAATGTGATTGGCTTTTATGTAACATAATAATCTAAGATACTATAAATGTATGAATTTAAATTTATGAATGCCCTCATTTTTCTTTTTTTTCCTTTCTTTCGTTTTTTAAATTGTATTTTATTGATTTTTTAGAGAGGGAGAGAGAAACATCGATGAGAGAGAAACATCAATTGGTTGCCTCCTGCACACAGTCTACCAGGGATGTGTCCACAACCAAGGTATATGCCCTTGACCGGAATTGAACCTGGGACCTTTCAGTCTGCAAGCCAACTCTCTATCCACTGAGCCAAATCAGTTTCGGCCTCATTTTTCAATTGTTTTATTTTTTTAAAACCATGACTGGTTATTAATTATTTAAACTCTTTCAACAATTTAAAAATTCTTTTGGTTCTGCTTTTACTTTATTAGTATTTATTTCATGCTGAATTTACTCCTGAACCGTAGTTTTTGTTTCTTCAGTTTCGTCTGGGATATCTTTTCCTTCTGCGCATCCTCTTCTGGTGTAGGAACAATCTGCTCTTCTTCAGTAAGGAGCATCTCCTTGTGGCAGGGAGAACTCGTGTATGAATTAATCCGCCCATGAGCTCTGTAACTTCAGTGTAGCATCTTTGGAGCTTTGTTCACGTGGATGCGCTTAATGACTAGAGAATCTACACTTAAACCTTTAAGTTCGGCATTACTCTCTGTATTTGTAAGCATGTGCAGCAAAAATTCAGCACACCTTTTGGGCCACCAACCCTGTATCCAACCCCACTGTTTAGCCTGGGTGCACCTAAAAATGCCACCATTATAATGATGGAATGGCACACATTGCTTCTGTAAACTGGCACCCTTCATATACTTGGTGGCTTTTCAAATATGCATACCCTTAATGGCCTGGGCAGTTTCATGAGTGTTCCAAAGTGAACATGAAGATTTGAACCTCTCAATTTGCATGATTTTGTGGTTTTCTGGGTCAAGTGAATAGAGTACAATTTTTAAATTCTTAATATTATTTTTTACATGAAAACTTCCATTTATTAGGCAATAACAGTTCTAAGTATTATATAAAATATTAAAACACTTGTTAAAATAAATAACTAAATAAGTAAATTTATGAATTCCCTAAGCTTCAATTAGGGTGAGTTGGGCTTTACTACATATAAATCTAATAACTGTATCATATCCTACCTAAAGAAAAATTCCAAGTAGAGCAAGGAGTGTTAATTTGGAACCAATTAAATAGACTTTTATTTATGAAGAGTCAGGAGTTGCTTATTCAGGAAAGAAACGCTCTAGTAAACAAAATATAATCTCTAAAGAAATTGACTCACTTGGAGGAATCAAATTTTCAGAATTTACTATCGCCCATATGAAAAACTCCCTCACTGCCCTTTCCTTTAATTCTATAATTAAGAAATATACTAACTAATTTGGCTCCAATTTATACTCATAACAGAGAAGAGATACTCTAGTTGGCAAAAATGAACATTTTGGTCACCAGAATCACTTCTAGTATGCAATAATAAGGCAACAGTCTGATTTATACAACAATCTCCTCTGGATTTGGTTAGCACTGATCTGTAGGTTCTGAGGGCTTAAAGGCAAGTTTCTGGACATACAAAGACGCAGAGCCTTGCACTATGATGGTCATCAAAGTGGAGCCATCCAGTGGGTTTTGGTGACAACTAAGAAAGATTTCCTTAACAGCACATCTCCTTTCTTACTGCCCTTAAAATTACAAAAATGGAGGCATTCAGGCTGTGAATATGATTGATATCCAAGAAATAATGATAGCATATGAAGGCTACTCCTATCTAGAATCTGGCACCCTTATAAAAGAAACTCATTTGTAAACTATGGTGTTCCTTCCTTAATCATCCAACTTTTAAGCATCAATTTTTACCTTCTTGTAATGTTTGACTCAACCAATGATAGAGCCTCAGTAAAAGTGATTCATCTCTGACACAGTTAATATAGTGAAGTAGCAAAGAGTTGTTTAGCACTGCGCCCATCTGAGAAGGCAGCTGCAAAGACAGAGCAATCAGTCAACCTAAGTATGTAAAAAGTAGGTTAGAGCAACAAGTTAATCATCAGCTAGCAAATATATAAACAAAAGATAAGTACATGGTCCAGTCACATACCTCTAAGCAATGAATGTTCTGTAAGAGTTGAGGGAAGCTTTTAAGCTGTTCTGCTGAAAATGCTCTATTTCTACTGAAATAATCAGAAAGACTCATCCCTTTTTTTCCATATTCTTTACTTTGGATATTGGAATTTAGCACTGGTATAAGTGAATGAGAATCCCATTTCTAAAGAAGAAATATAATAAAATATATCAATAAACTAAACAGACTATAAACTATAAATGTAAAAGCAGTTAAGGTGGTTCAATAAAATGGAGTCTGAATGTGATTTGCATAGAATCCTGGATAATGAAAACGTATTTAAATATCTATAATCTCTTCTAACATCTGAATGATTATTGTTTGGAGTTAATAAACGATGGCCTCAAAAAATCATTTGAGATTTTAGATACTTACTCTTTTCCTAGGACGGACAGTAGCTGCACCTAAAATTAGCTTCAGAGGTTCTGGAGAAGGTTGCTGATTCCTTTGCCTCACAGCAACTAGAGCTGTCTTCCACAAATTCTCTGGATTCTTAAAATAGATCTATAAATTTGGATGTAAAATAAATAAAAGTACTTATAAGCTGAAGCAACATAAAATCTAAAACTTTTCATTAATTGAAATTATACTGATTATAAAATATTTTGCACCCATGCAAATCCACTTAAAAGATTTTTTACTTATCAAGAATCTATCAAATACATCAAAAGGAATCAAAGTGCCAATCCCTAAAAATACTCCCCAGAAGCAGTATAATACTAGATCTGAAACAGTATGCTGTCCTGGCCAGTGTGACTCAATTGGTTGGGCATTATCCTATTCACCAAAATGTCACCGGTTCCATTCCTGGTCAGGGCATAAACCCAGGTTGCAAGCTCAATCACAAGTTGGGGATGTACAGAAAGTAGCTGATCTGTTTCTCTCTCTCCCTCTTCCAATCTCTCAAATCAATAAAAACGTATTTTAAAAATATGTTTAAAATAAATTTAAAAAATGCTATGCTGTAAACATTTCAGTCCAAATCTGTAGATTAATAAAAAATAACGTATTTCAATCTCAATATGATTTATCACTCCTTAATCCCTTACCTTCTTCATAGGCAATGATACAGAAATCAAAGTGGGAACGAAGAACTTATACAGCGACAGCAAAGCATGGAGATAAGGCTGCCTTCCCTGAAATAAAATAAAAGTTTTCAATTTTCAATTCTGTGGTCAATAAGAAAAAAGAGTAACAATAAAATAAACAGATTGTGCATATATTCAGATCCTAATTTTACTATACATTATGCTTTATTGAAGATGTTATATAAAATCAAGAAATGAATAACCAGGCATTTAAATCAACTATCGTATTATAAAACAACCCTTGCCAACCTGTTGTCTTCTCTTTTATGAGTTATCCTTCTATTTTAGTTTTTCCTTATATTTTCTCTCTTCTTCTTTGCTCACACCTTAAGCTTACAAGTGATACCTGCTAGCACAGTTTATTCTCAGGGGTAACATATTCATGACTCAAAGTTTATTCACTCTTGATTTGAATAGGAAGACAGAAGACAAGCAGGAAAGCCAAGAAAAGAGAGCAAAGGAAATATTAATACGTTATCATAATGCCTGAAAAATTGATTAGGAAATCTAACAATTAGTATGCAGCAGCAAAGCTGCTTCCTATAACTGAAATAAGTCTTAATAAAAACACTAATTTTACAATGATAGGAGTCATTACTGCTGGATACGCGTGTTTGATATATGACTACCCAGAGCTAGCGTACAACTAAAATGAATTTCAAGGAAATAAACAAAATGCTTTATCATAGTACAATTTTATTGAAACAAATACTGTATAAAATAAGGGAGGCAGAATATGAGGCTTAGAAATACAGTATACCTACTTTATAACAGCTTCTTGAAATTAAATTTATTTTATTAAAACCAAATGGCCCAGTTTATCTATGCTGAATTAACTTCTAACCTCTGAGCATATACTCATGTCAATTTGTATCAGAGTGTTTGCTTCCAGTTTAAATGTTTTTGATAGAGCAAATATTTAGTAGTAGCGAGAACTTTAGAATTTATTGCCAACTTAACTAAACCTATCTTTGTTGTTAAAAAGTTAGCATTCTTTTCCAAAAAAGGGAAACTTTCAGTTAAACATGGCATACTGAACATATGTGTTTAATTTTGGGTCCTCCCAAGACCCATTTACTAAAAAGTAAAGGAATGAAAAAGGCTTAAAACAAAAGTTCAAAGAGAACAAGAGAGGAGATAACAGAAAATCAGAGATCTCAACAAGATTTTGAAACCTAGAATGAAGATGAACAAATAATAACCAACTTAACAGAACAGAGAAAAATGAAGCCTAAAGCAGCAACAGAAAAATGCCTCAAAATATTCATGCTTGAGAACCCCCAGAAACACTCAGGAATTTGTGAAACCAGATTACGTCTGAAAAGTGGAGCTGCAAGAGGGTCAAGAAACAGGATTGGCTGGAAGCCTACATGCAAAGCAGTTAGACCCCAAATTCCTTCACTACACGTTTAGGCAAACATCAGGGTTTTACTCTCTGAAGATGAAGCTGGACTCAGATATCAGGCACAATGGAGGGAGGGTGTAATCAGGATCTCTCTCCACCCCTTTCCATGGCTTATGTCTCGGAATCCTAGTAGCCAGGTTCCTATCCCTATATTTTGTTGATTTTGTTTCAACTTGGCTTGGCCATGGGATGCCCAGGTATTTGGTGAAACATTATTCTGGGTGTTTCTGTGAATGTATTTTGGATGATCTACTTTTAAATCAGTGAGCTTTGAGTAAAGCAGATTGTCCTCCATAATGTAGGTGGGCTCATTCAATTAGAAATTTACCCTATCTATCTATCTATCTATCTACAAAAATATATATAAAAGCTTAAGAGACTGTTATGACTGGATGACTGGTCACTATCATGTACACTGACCACCAGGAGGCAGACGCTCAATGCAGGAGCTTCCCCCTGTTGATCAGTGCACTCCCACAGACAACCTCCACAGCCAGCCAACTTCTCGCTGTCCATCCCCCGCAACCCCACGGCCAGCTGGGTGGTCAGTATGCTCCCACAGCCCAACGCCTGCAACCAGCCAACCTCCTGTGGTCCCTCCCCACAGCAGGCTGGTCACAATCCGCCCTAATTGGGACAAGGTAAGACAGCCTGATGGGCCCAATCATTGGCCAGACCGAGGGACCCCACCTGTGCACGAATTTATGCACTGGGCCTCTAGTCTATTTAAATAAAGAGGCAATATGTAAATTAGCCAGGATGCCGTAAAAGTCACTACCAGTCAGGAGGAGACTGTGCACGCAGGTGAGGCCCGGAGTGGAAAAGGAGATGGAGACAGGGGACCTGCCCAAGCCACCACAGCCAAGGGCAGGCCCGAAGAGGAGAAGGTGGGCCTGCCCAAAGCCTCCATGGCCAAGCACACGCCAGGAGAGGAGAGGATGGGCCTGCCTGTAGCCTCTGCAGCCAAGCACAGGCCCAGAGGGGAGAGGGAAAAGGGAAGAGTTGGAGAGGGGAGAGGACATGCTCACAGCTGCTGCAGCTGAGAGCAAGCCCTCGCTGGTAGTCCCACCTTTGTGCGTGAGCTGCAGAGGAAACACCTTTTCTGACCACTCATTGGCTAAGCACCCAGTACACCACTCACAGTGTTCTTGGTAAATTGAGTAATAAGAATCCAAGAAGGTGACCTAGGGTTTTTTCACCTCACTCCTGGAGGAAAAAATGAAGGTCCGCTGCTGGAGGCTCTAAGAAATGTCATATCCTGCCCTAGGTGGTTGGCCCAGTGGATAGAGCCTCAGCCTGCTGACCACAGGGTCCAGGTTTGATTCTGGTCAAGGGCATGTACCAAGGTTGCAGGCTTCTCCCTGGCTGGGGCCAGGTCAGAGCTCAGGCAGGAGGCAACCAATTGAAGTGTCCCTCTCACATTGATGTTTCTCTCTGTCTTTCCCTCTCTTTCCAAGCTCTCCAAAAAAATCAATGAAAAAATATCTCAGGTGAGGAAAGAAAGGAACGAACGAATGAACGAACGAACAAAAGAAGAAAGAAAGATCAGTCATATCCTAAGCTGTCAGTAGGACATTCTCTGAGGGCTCCCAGACTGTGAGAGGAGGCGAGCTGGGCTGAGGAACACCCCCGCTCCAGTGCAAGAATTACATGCACAGGGACTCTAGTTCTACCTAATAAAAGAGTAATGCAAATTAAGCACCACTGCGCTACACCCACAAGCCACACCCACCAGCCAATCATGGCAAGTATGCAAATTAATCTCAATCAAGATAGCTGCAGCCACTGAGCAAGCTGGAGGGAGGCTTGGGTTTCCCTGGCGATGGAGGAAGCCAAGCTTTCCACCTGCTCTGGCTGGCTGAGGCCTCCATTCCAGGCTATAAAGTTTCAATTATAGAAGATAAATACCAAAAGAAATGGAGGCAGCCAGGCACCTGGAGAGAGCAGGAGGCAAGGGTTTTGTGTGTGTGTGTGTGTGTGTGTGTGTGTGTGTGTGTCCCACAATGGAGGAAGCCAAGCTTTCCACACACCCTGGCTGGCCCAGGCTTAAGGCTACAAAGTTTCAATTGTAGAAGTTAAATAAATTCCAATAGACATGGCTGCGGCCATGGAATGAACAGGAGGGTTGTTTCTCTGTCACCAGGGGCAATCCAAGCCTCCTATCATTCCAGCTTGATGGCTGCAGTCATCTTTGTTGGGTTAATTTGCATACTCATTCCTGATTGGCTGGTGGGTGTAGCAGAGGGATTGTCAATTTGTATGTTTCTCTTTTATTAGTGTAAATACACACATTTGCAGGGTGGGGCTAAAGTTGTTTTACAGTTATGAGCATATGACACAGTTTATTCTTGCATTATTTATTAATTATTGCATTGTTTTCCTACTTCTATGGGTACAATATCTTCTCTTAGCTCTGCAAGGATATTAATGACTATGTTTTTTTCCAAATCGCATTTTACTTCACATTAACTGTAAACAACTGTAAACCTACTTTTGCCCCACCCTGTATGCATATCTTATTGGTTCTGTTCCTCTGGAGAGGCCTAATACAACCCACAGGCGGGAGAGATAGAATTTCCCTCTTGGAAAAATGACACAGTCATCTAGGGGGCTCCCCAATGACAGAAACATCAAGACCTGACAATGAACAAGTCCTGCTCACACACAAAAGTCTCCAATCAACATTTTAGTATTTTATTACAAATGAACAAACTAGGTTTACCAGGCAATAGAGAAAAGCCTCTACCATGAAAAAAAAACTAAAGAAAGGAATGCTAAGGAAATAAATCTGAAAATATTAAATAAAAATCACAGCCTTAGTCACACAAGCTCATGCCTGATAAAGGAAGAATCCCAGAAACCATCCTCACCAACCTTTAAGATTAACTCCCCCTTCCTGTTCCAAAGATGGTTCTCAACAGGCACTGGTGCTTTTTAAAAAAAGTATATATAATTTTTAATTGATTTCAGAGAGGAAAAGAAAGAGAGAAACATCATCACTGATTGGCTCCTTCTACACACCACACACTGGGGATTAATCCCACAACCTGGGCATGTGCTTTGACTAGGAATCGAACCATGACATCCTGGTTTATAGGTTGACACTCAACCACTGGGCCACATTGGCTGGGTAGTCCTTGTAATTTTAAAATAACAACATGCCTACTCCAGATCCCATTATTCATGCTTGCCACCAGAAAGACTATTTCTGCATTTTGTTTCCTCTGTGGATCAAGAGTTATGGGTCATGGGTGGGTATAGAAGGGATACAGGCCTTTATATGGAGTTGATACCAGAAATTCAAGAAATTTACATATCCAATATATCTGTGCACATGTGCTAATTATGGCTATTACCATTCTATATGTTCAGTTACATGTGAGCATGGCTATGTCTTCTAGGCTTCATATTATTGGACTTAAAACAAATTTAACAAAATCCAGCTAATCAAAACAATTTTATGAATATATCCTTATAAATGGGCATTGATAATGAAATAATTTAGTAATATATTATATAGAATGCTAATAATGAAGCCATACAATTAATGCTTATGTTTTAAAATTTTAGAATCATGTACTAAATCATACACTTGAACATACACTGTTTCAGTTGAAATGTTTTGCTGTTAAGATGGAAAAAGTACATCTTCACAATTTTTATTAATGTCAATGGAAATGCGATTTGGACAAAAACATTGTCATTAATATCCTCGCAGAGCTAAGAGAAATATTGTACCCATAGAAGCAAAACTGGAAGCTATAAAACAAGAACAATCACTTAATTGTACTAATAGGAAACCTCACACTAGAGAAGCACGAATGTGCACATGAGTTTGTGTTTTTCATTAAATTTGAATGCCTTCAGGTAGATCATGCAGGTTGCAGCACTTAGGCATAGGCACTACAACTTCCTATTGTGTTAACCCAAAGGTTCACAGATTTCTGTTACCTGGCAGGTACAGTGGAGATAACAATGCAAGAGAGTTGTAAGGACAAAAGATAATGGTCAAGGAATATACGGAAGTTTAAGAATCCAGAAAAGAATGCTTTTTCCTCTATCACATTCACACAAAAAATAAACCAGTCACTTTATTTTAATAAAATAAAGTAGTTGTTTCTTACTACTCCCTGACACTTATTTTCTAGCCATACCAACCCAGTTCCCTAAACAGTTTCTGCTATTTTACATTTTTGCTCATGCTATTCCTTTTGTCAGGAGTGTCCTGCTCTTCCTTCTTAGCCTCATTAAATCCTATTCATCTGTTAAAATTTATCTCAAGCATCACCACTCCTCCTTGACCCAGTTTTATTTTGTTTATTGAGTTGCCTAGTCAAAAAGCTCCTTGAAGGTAGTAATTCATTCCATTTAAATCCCCAAAGCCTAGTCTCATTTTCAGTTCTTATAAGTGTATTTCTTATATCACATGATTTCACATATCTAGGGGAATCAATATAAACTGATGAACAAAAACAGACCCGGAGACAGGGAAGCATCGATCAGACTGCCAAACCTCAAAGGGAAGGTAGGAGAAAGGGAGAGAGATCAACCAAAGGACTTGAATGCATGCATATAAGCCTAACCAGTGGTCATGGACAATGGGGGGGAGGGGGAAATACGTGGTTTGGGATGGGAATGGGGGAGGGATGAAGACAATTATGTGATACCATAATCAATAAAGAAATTAAAGGGCATGATTGGGCAGTGGAAAAAGTTGAAGTATAAACTGTAGATTAAAGTATCGTCTCAAAGTTTAAAAAAATAAAATAAATCCTCAAAGCCTAGCCCAATACTGATCACAGAGTATAGTATACTGGCTAGTTTAGGGTCTTTTTGGTACTCACCATTTTTGCCTGAAGATCAAGCAGTTTTCTCACACGAAATGGCTTGACTAGTAAAGGTTAAAAAAAAAAAAAAAAGAAGTACTATGTATGTGGTTCAGAAAAAAGAATCCATGTGGCTCATATATATAGCTTCTTCTTACAACACATCAATAATATAAACAGCCTGTTCATTTAACCATTAAGCAAAGGCTCTTAATAAAAGTACTAAAAAGTAATTCACACAAAATCTTGTCATAAAACTAACGCTAACAGTTAATTTTATCAAGCCAATACAAATACTAATTCCACAGAGTGAATGTAATATAACTGTAATAAAAATACTTACCATTCTCTTTTTTGGTAAGTAAATATAAGAAATGGCAGACATAAGGGCACTGTTAAAAAAAAAAAAAAACAACTTTTAAAAGAGAGAAATGACAATGCATCTTGAATAGGACAGAAATATATTCTCCTTAAACATAGATTTTATACTAATTAAGTAAAAAAGATAACACTGAACAATAAAGCTTCTCTTTATCATACTACACAGTAGTGATTAAAAACAAGTTTTAACTCGTATACCATGATGGCATTTAAAAAATTATTTTTGGTATATAAAAACATTGCAGGCAGTCTGAAAAATAGAAAAACACCTTCTACCTAACAAAAATTCATATATTCCTTCTAAAAGCCAATATTTATTAAGATCCAAACAAAAGTTTTACCCTGAATTATCATGTTATTTGTTATTTAAAATGGTCATTTTCAATTATCTTAATATTCCAGTGAGTGGATATAATATCATAATTTAATTTATCATTTAGTCCTGGGCTTGTCAAATAGCACACACTCAATAAATGTAAAACTTAAATTACTTATTGACTGGTTCCCTCATACCATTTCCATTTGAGTGTCCACTTTTTGAGGTTTTATTTTGGATGAAAGGTCAGCAAACTCCAGTGCACCTGTTTTTGTAAATCAACTTTATTGGAATGGAGCCACACTCCATTAGCAAATTGAAAAATAAATTATTAAACAGAACTGAAGAAGGTAACAAAAACAAACTTTTTAAAAACAAATTTGTATTTTTGTAGTCATGACTCTAAAATGTAAACTCTAAAGTATGGCATTACACATTGCCTCTTAGCAACGGATTCAGAAAGACTCTGGACATACTTGTAAGAAAAATGAATTTAGATATAGGATCCTCTTTTTAAGGAAAGAATACATATTATGACCACATCTGCCATATTTGACACAAAATATAACTTCCAGTAGAAAAAAAAAAACAAAAAAAAACACCTCATTATCTCACAACCCCTAAAATATGAACCTCTAGTAACACTATTATATTGAGTATGAAACAGGAGCATGCGTCACACAATCACTTGCCCTATGCACATACAGCATAGGAAATCTGACATCTGACATTCTCCTTCAATCCCATCTAGAAAGGAAAAACTTAAATGTACCTAAGACTTTACAAATGCCTTTCTGGCAAATACCTAACCACCATATCTGAGTCACTCTAGAATCAGGCTCCTACCAAATTACATGAAAACGACTTATCTGAAGTAATGCTTTTAAAAGTTAGGCTCCTGATTTCTTAATCAGGGTGATATTTGCACAAATGCATTTAGTTTATGAAAATTTATTGAGCTGATCACTTATGATAGAGGCAATTTTCTGTATGTGTATTGTACTCGAATAAATATTTTTTCTTTTTTGTAAGTTTATTTTTCTTTCTTTTTTAATCCTCACCCAAAGGGTATTTTTCCATTGATTCTTTTTTTAAAATATATTCTATTGATTTTCCACAGAGAGGAAGGGAGAGGGACAGAGAGCCAGAAACATCAATGAGAGAGAAACATCGATCAGCTGCCTCCCACACACTCCCCACTGGGGATGTGCCCGCAACCAAGGCACATGCCCTTGACCGAAATCGAACCTGGGACCCCCCAGTCCGCAGGCCGACACTCTATCCACTGAGCCAAATCGGCTAGGCTCCATTGATTCTTAGAGAGAGTGGAAGGGAAGGGGAGAGAAATAGAGAAACACCAATGTGAAAGAGACACATCTATCGGTTACCTTCTGCACGTGCCCAATGACTAGTGATCAAGCCTGCAACTGAAGTATTATACTATGTGCCCTTGACCAGAATCGAACCCATGACCCTTCAGTCCATGGGCCAATGCTCTATATACTGAGTTAGATTGGCTAGGACAATATTTTTTTAATATAGAAGAAAAAGATAAAAAGTAGGCCACCTTCCCTCCCTCCAGCAGAGCAAGAAACTCTCTAGTTAGCATCATGAAAACTATATCACAAATGATTTAACAAGCATTTATGAGTAGTTCCTCCTATTCATTAATTCACTCATGGAACAAATATTTATTGAGCAGTAAATAAAACAGACAAAAAGGTCTGCTCTTATGAAGTTCACAATCTGTGTGCCATGTCGTGTTACCGAAAACTTGGGTTGTAAAAGGCACAGTTCCTGCCTGGAAGAACTCAAGTCTATTGATCTATAATAAGAAAGGGGAAAGCATGCTTTATTATTTCCCCTTTTTGACAAAGTATGTGTAAACAGAATTCATTCATATTGCAATTAGTTCAGTTTATGAACAAATCCAGTATGATATCAAAAGTAAAGGAGAGTCAACCATACTAATCATCATTCATCCACTCTTATATAGCACAGGACAAGCCTCTCCCAATAATTTATAACCCTGAGCTGGGCCCTAAGTAGGTCTGCAGTTTGAATTTACACTTGGGATATGACTAAGAAAACCTCAAGCAAAGAATTTAAAGTGATTCTAGCTTAGTTATACCTCCCAGACAAATCAGATATCTGTTAAGGGACTTCTACCTAAAATATAGAAAGAACACTTATAACCCAATAATAAAAAGACAAGCAACTAAATTTAAATAGACAAAGGTTCTAAATAGACATTTTTCCAAAGAAGAAAAGATGCTCAATATCACTAATCATTAGAGAAATGCAAATAAAAGCCACAATGAGATACCACTGTATACCCACTTGAATGGATATAATCAGAAAGTCCGATAAATAACTATTGGTGAAGATGTGATGAAATTGAAACCCTCGTACTCTTGGTGGGAAGGTACAATGGGGTAGCCACTGTGGAAAACAGTATGCTGATTTATCAAAATTATAAACCTCAGAGATACAGTAATTCCATTCCTAGGTATATATCCAAAAGAATTGAAAGCAGGAACTTGAACATATGCTTGTATGTCAGTGTTCATTGCAGCATTGTTCATGTTGGCTGAAAAGTGGAAACAACTCAAGAATCAATCAACAGATGAGATAAACAAAACGTTGCAGATACATACAATGGGACATTATTCAGCCATAAAGTTCTGACACATGCTAAAACGTGGATGATCCTTGAAGACATTATGGTAAGTGAAAGAAGCCAAACACGAAAGAACAAATATTTTATGGTATTATTTATAAGAGATAACTAGAATAGTCAAACTCATAGAGACATAAAGTAGATTAGAGGTTATCAGGGGCTGGGAGGAGGATAAATAGGGAGTTACTGCTTAGGGTAATGAAATAGTTCTGGAAATAGTAGTGATATTATTCAACTCTGTGAATGTTACTAAAACCAATAAATCATATACTTAAGAATACTCAAAACTATCAATGGCCCGGCTGGCGTGGCTCAGTGGTTGAGCATTGACCTATGAACCAGGACGTCATGGTTTGATTCCAGGTCAGGGCACATGCCTGGGTTGTGGACTTGATCCCCAGTGGGGGGCATGCAGGAGGCAGATGATCAATGATTCTTTCCCATCATTGATGTTTCTATCTCTCTCCCAGTCTCCCTTCCTCTCTGAAATTAATAAAAATATATTTTAAGAAACCAAAACTATCAATGTTATGTTAGCCTATATAATAAAAGCTTAATATGCAAATCGACCAAATGGCAGAATGACCAGTTGCTATGACACACACTGACCACCAGGCGGCAGATGTCCAATGCAGGAGCTTCCCCCTGGTGGTCAGTGTGTTTCCATAGGGGGAGCGCCACTCAGCCATAAGCCAAACTCACAGCCTGAGATGCTCCCACCTCCGCAGCAGTGCTAAGCCGTCAGTTGAACATCCCCCAAGGGCTCCCAGGTAGGAGGGCACAGCCTGGGCTGAGGAATATCCCCCACCCCCAAGTGCAGGAACTTCACGCACCGGGCCTCTATTCTATAATAATGATAGCATAATATGCAAATTGACCAAATGACCAAAAAGCAGAATGACTATCCAGACGACCTTCTGGACAACCACACTATGACACCCACTGGCGCCAGGCCAACCAAGATGGGTGCGATGCAACTGGTTGATGGCCTGGCCATTGCCTCATGATTGTCCTGCAGAAAGAAGCCCAGGCCATCGGCGGGGCAATCTATCAGGCATCTAAGGCATGTGAGCGGAAAAAATAATTTTTAAAAAAACCAAGCTAGAAATAACCAAGCAACTACTAGCCAAAATAAAGTAAGAGTAGCAGTATCAATATCAGACAAAATAAACTAAAACAAAAAAGGGTTAGGTTTGATTCAATAGGACGTATGGAAACTATAATTGTGTATACATCTAATAATAGACTAAAAATATATAGCAAAAATTGGCAGAACTTTAAGGAAAAACTGACAATTTTGCCTTCATAGTGGGAGATTTTCACCATAACCTTATTCAGTAATTGATAGACAACAACAAATTCCAATTCAAAAAAACTCCATTCCCTTACTCTACCTCAGCAACTCATATCATAACTCTGAGTCTGGTCAACACATTGAACCACCCCTTCCTGAAATCTTTTTTTTTTTTTAATATATTTTTATTGATTTCAGAAAGGAAGGGAGAGGGAGAGAGATAGAAACATCAACGATGAGCCCTAACCAGTTTGCTCAGTGGATAGAGCGTCGGCCTGCGGACAGAAAGGTCCCAGGATCGATTTCGGTCAAGGGCATGTACCTGGTTGTGGGCACATCCCCAGTAGGGGGTGTGCAGGAGGCAGCTGATAGATGTTTCTCTCTCATCAATGTTTCTAACTCTCTATCCCTCTCCTTTCCTCTCGGTAAAAAAAAAAGAAAAAAAAAAAAAAAAGAAAGAAACACCAATGAAGAGAGAGAATCACTAACTGGCTATCTCCAGCACGCCTCACACTGGGGATTGAGCCCACAACCCGGGCATGTGTCCTGGCCAGGAATCGAACCGTGACCTCCTGGGTCGGGTCACAGGTCGACGCTCAACCACTGAGACATACTGGCCAAGCTGAAATCTTCAACTCCAATGCTACTTTCTATGATTCCAGCTTTTAATCCCAATACATGTCTTGAATGTCACCAATGCCTTAGCTATATGGACTTCCTA